TTCTGCAAAGGAACGCCCTCAGGGGGCCCGGTCTTACCCTCCTTAGAAGACTTGGACTGCTTGTCCTTTTTAGTGGCATGTTCCTTTCCAGACTTGCCTTTAGATGACTGTTTCGAAGCGACCTTCAATGTCGATCTTGTCGGTATCGATGCTCCGGTATCGACGGCAGCACGTGAGGTAGAAGGTTGGTCCGCCATAGCAGACGGCGGGTGAAGAGCAGATTCCAACAAAGCGACCTTTAACCGTGCGGCACGGTTCTTTTTCGTCTGATTAGAAAATTTAGCACAATGCTTACAAGTATCCGCTCTGTGTGACTCGCCTAAGCAGAACAAACAAAGTTCATGGCCATCTGGAGGGGCCAATTTACTTCCACACTTCTTACAGCGGTTGAAAAAGCCCCACTTCTGACTCCTCTTCTTTTTCTTTTCCATACGGTGGGAAGAGATGAATGCCGGGGAAAAGTGAAGAGGGAAGGGGGGGGGGGAAGGCCTGAAGGCCTGAGGAGATTCCCCTCAGAAAAACAAAAGTTCTCGTTTTTCTCCTTTTTTTTTTTTTTTAAAGTAAACTGAAGTAGAGAAAATAAAATAGAGGATGATCCTAAGAAACAAGTAATAAGGTAAAGGCCCGAAGGCAGTAATAGCTATCCGGTCAGGAGGAAAGGCAAGAAGGTCCTTTCAACGCGGCGGTAGAGAGAGAACTGGCGGGATCTCCGCGCCCGTCCCCTCTGAGCATGCGCGCTGGGGTTCCTGCGCATGCTCAGTGGGACTCGCGCGAAAATCCTTTGAAACATAGCTTGCTACAGCGCCGGTCGGATCAGCGCAGGCACACTAAACCCATTGGTGTGAAGCACAGAGACCACGAAGAAGATCATATTATTTTGCAACCGTCTTAAGACATCTTGCATTACACTGTTTTTATGTGTGTGAATCTTTAGCACCCCAGAAGCTCCTTGGTTGGGGGGAGTGGGGGAAAAGACCCAAGGACTAAAGGGGCTCATGGACCAGAGAAATTCAGCTCCTTCCCGTCACGGCCTCAACATCACACCTGCAAAGTTCCTGTGTTTGAGCATCTTGTCTCACCAATGCTAGCAGACACGAGCAAAAACTTCTACTCAGCTGCTCACCTGGATGGGAACTTGGCTAGGAAAAGAACCAGAAGACAAAGGACCCACTTTCCCAGCAGATTGTACTCAGGTTCACCTTTCCACTCAGTGAGGTTTGGGCAAGCTGCCTTTAACCACGAGGAAAGGTGGGGTATAAATGTTTTAATAAATAGAAGAATAAGAAGAAGAGTTTGGATTTATACCCCGCCCTTCACTACCCAAAGGTGTCTCAGAGCGGCTTACAAACTCCTTTCCCTTAATTGTAACTTCAAAAACAATAAAAGAAGAAGAGATTGGATTTATACCGCACCCTTCACTACCCAAAGGCGTCTCAGAGCGGCTTACAAACTCCTTCCCCTTCCCCTCCCCACAACAGACACACGGTGAGGTAGGGGGGCTGAGAGAGCTCTGACAGAAACTGCTCTTTTTCAAGAACAGCTCTCATCAGAGCTACGGCTTGCCCAAGGTCATCCAGCCAGGCACAAGTGGAGGAGTGGGGAATCAAACCCGGTTCTCCCAGATTAGAGTCCGCACACTTAACCACTACACCAAACTAATTAATAAACATATCAAAGCACTGGCCATAAGTTCAAAGCATTCACAACGTCTGTTTTCTTTCTACATGATTTTTCAAAGCATTCACAATGCGTGTTTCTTTTTACCTGATTTTTAAAAACTGCCGGAAGTCCTCTAGCTTCCACTTGTCATAGTTTTCAAATCTTTTAAAATGCTCCTCTGCGTGAAATTTTTCTGAAGAGCAGTTATAAGCAAACACTAACCCACACCGGGCCCCGATGGCTCCTCTCCGCACCTAGGAGGAGGACAAAGCTATAACCGTGCACAAAATAATAGGAGAATAGGAAAAAAGACATATCTGGTGTTTGCAAGCAGCAGAGCAAGAAGACCAAGGTGGAGCAAGCAGTCTGTGCTTTCAGAGGATAACATCTGAATTGTTGGGGAGAGTTGTGGGACTCCATATGCACACCGCAGATGCCTGATCCACACCTGGCTCTAGAGTCCTGATCCGCTTTGGTCAAGATTCCTCATTCATTCATCTCATTTATACACTACCCTTCTTCCAAGGAGCTCAAAATGGTATTTATGGATGGGGTGTTCTCATAGTTTCCCTCATAACAACTCTGTTAGGCAGAGAAAGTGAATGGCCATAGGTCACTCAATGGTTTTCATGGCTCAGGCAGGGACTTGAACTCAGGCCTCCCCCAGACCAGGTCCACCATTCTTCCTGCTACATCCGCCCTTGCTCCCCTGCTCCTCCTTCACCTAGCCCCGTTCACTTCCCCAGACCGGCTCAAAGAAGCACCACTTCGCAGCCGTGCAAATCACGAAGAAATCACAAAGGCACGGAGAGATACCCCTGAAACTGCCATTAATGCATGAGGCATGGCTAAACGGTGTCTGCCATGAAAAGGTCCTCACACAAAGTGTTGGCAGGACCTTCTAGATAGCCGCTGGGGGGACCCTCAATCCCAGCCTGCCGCATTAAGAAAAAGAATAAACAAAATAAACAGGCAAAATTCATTTGGAGTTTCTTTCAGCCGATGAAACTGAAGCTCAAGGAAGGCTTTCAAAACTATGAATGATAACGTCATAGAAATTTAAGAGTCACATTTTTCGTCATAGAAATTTAAGAGTCACATTTTTCCTCTGCCATCAGCTCAGTAAGAACCTTTTAACAAATTCCTTTCAGCCACTTAATTGGTAAAGGGAATTCTATTGAGCCAGGGCTCTTTTTGTAGAAAAAGTCTAGCAGGAACTCATTAGCATAATAGGCCACACCCAACACCAGAAACTAATTAGCATATTAGGCCACACCCCTGCTGGCACAGCTCATTAGCGCATTAGGACGCACCTCCACATTGCCAGAAGTGTGGTTATCCAGCCACACCCACCTTTTGCTTCTTATTCTGTTTACCTTGTTTGTTGTCGAAACCCAGGGCTTTTTTTTGTAGCAGGAACTCCTTTGCATGTTAGGCCACACACCCCTAATGTAGCCAATCCTAATGAGTTTCTGCTGTTGGGTGTGGCCTATTATGCTAATGAGTTCCTGCTGGGTGTGGCCAACTTGGGAGCCAGCCAGAACTCCGTTCCTGTGCGTTCCTGCCCCAAAATAGCCCTGCGTATTGACCAAGCCTATAGGGCTGTTGTCAGGATTACTGAGTGTGTGAGAAGCTGTCTGAACCCTCGGAGGAGGAGGAGGAGGAGGAGGAGGAGGAGGAAGATAGCCTTCGAGTCGGAAACTTTTACAATTGTTTTATCTTATTTAAAGGCTACAGTGGATGCGTGCTCCATTTCTGCCTCTACACTGACTTGGTTTCTACATGATCTGATGCCCTCTTCCGGCATGACCGACCGTCCTGTAGAAGGGGTGTCATAAAAGCACGACTGTCACAAGAAAGCAAACTGCACTTTCAAAATAGCTACTGCTCGATGAGCACAGCCCTACCTTTATTCTGATCTGTGTGACCTGGAAAGCTGAATCCGTCCCCGTAGAAAGGATCACGCTTGCCCGAGTCTTCCCAGTCTCTGTAAGGAAGCCTGCAAAAACAGAACACAAGACTAGTAAATTTCACTGGGATTCTCCCGCGTGAGCAGTTTCAATGTGACAAATTTGGAGCTGGACCAACCCAGGGGGTGTTGCCCGGGACTGATTCCATGACGTGCAGATTTGGCACGACGACGATGACTTGCCTCTAGAAGCCAAGTGGGCGCTTACCATCCCCCGTCCAAGGCTCCACAAGGAGGTTTTCGGGTCCGGATTTGTCCTCCTTTCCTTTGACGTCACAGGCTTGCAAAGTCAGCCGCAGAGGCGTTCCTGGAGAATGAGACAGGCTTGTCAACAGCAAACAGAAGGACTCCACCAATGGTATCTTGGATTCTTTGGCAAGAGGAGGGCAAAAGCTTTTTTGTACTGTGGGTGTTCTGCCTCTTCCTTCTTACTGAGGTTTTCTCCCGTAATATTCTTTCTGAAAAAACTTTATTGAATCCTTTTTTTAATATTCTTTTAATCCTGGCCATGGTTTCTATTCCTGCTTTCTGTTCAATTAAGTGTACTGATTTTAGATCATCTCTTTTGGTGTAGTGGTAGTGTAGTGTAGAGAGCCAGTTTGGTGGTGAGGAGGAGGAGGAGGAGGAGGAGGAGGAAAAGGAGAGAAGAGAAGAGAAGAGAAGAGAAGAGAAGAGAAGAGAAGAGAGGTGAAGAAATTG